AAGAAATTTTATTAAGTTTTTTTTCTAGTAATTAGCAAGGCAAAAATAATTCCTGATGGATCAGCAGTGTTGGATTAAAAAAAAAAAAAATTATTTGAGTACTGTTCCTGAAAGGATCTAAAAAAACAACTCCAGTGCTATATACTTCATTATAATAGTTAGTATCTTAGAAGCTCTTTTTTAGAACCCTGTCAGGCACAGTACACACAGTAAATCATTTTTTTTCATCAAAATATATGAAAATTACTACATCAAGTAATCTGTATTATGTGAATACCATCATAATTCTGTTACCTGATTTTCACATATGCACAATCCTACATATATTTTAAAATTTTCTATATAAATCTCACTCTTCAGTGTTTGTTAAAATTTTTTAGGCATGCACTGTTAGGCGTCTACAGTAACTAGACAATGTCTAGACATTTATTGTTCTGCCAAATAATGTACTCTACCCAAAATTTTTGGACAAGCTTTAAATCTGTTCTGGCTATTTAGTTGTTGTTGAAGACCACCCAAAAACATGCACCATTAGGCCTTTATGATAACTAGATAATATCTAGACTGTTGTTGCTTGGTATTCAGAATTGAGAGAATATTAAGACCATTTTCATTGTTTGGATATTGGCAATAGGTGAATCTGTGCTCAGTTATGCTATATGATGATCATTAAATAATTTTCTAAGTATAAAAGTTTGTTAAATATCTACTTCAACATGAAATTAAAAGTTTTTTAAACTTTGAGCAAAGATATCTTGACGTCCACCTGGTCATTTCAATAAAAAGATTTTTATTTAAATTCTATGAATCTGTAGAATTCAAATAAAAAAGTTTTTATCAAAATTGATCAGATAATTGTCGAGATATCTTCACTCAAAGTTTTAAAAATAACTCAGTATGGCTTTAATTTTGAATTTCTTTAACTTTGAGCAAAAATATTTTGATGACCAATTTTGATAAAAATTTTTTATTTGAATTTTATAAATCTGTAAAATTTAAATAAAAAAAATTTTATCGAAGTTAATCAGGTAATTGTTGAGGTATTTTCACTCAAAGTTTTAAAAATAATTCAGTAATTTTGATAGATATTTTGATTTTTTTTCAACTTTGAGTAAAAAGATCTCAACAAGTACTTGACCAAATCAATAGATTTTTTTTTTATTGAATTCTACTAATCTGTAGAATTTAAATAAATAAAATTCATTGAAGTTGATCAGGTGATTACTGAGATATCCTTGCTCAAAGGTTTAAAAATAATCTAGCACAACTTTAATTTTGATAGATATTTTGAATTTATTCCAACTTTGAGTGAAGTTATTTTGATAACCACCTAACCAATTTTGATAAAAATTTTTTTATTTGAATTTTATGAAACTGTAGAATTCGAATAAAAAAAATTATCAAATTGGTTAGGTGGTTGCTAAGATATCTTTACTCAAAGTTTTAAAAACAATTCAGTGTAGCTTTAAATTTAATAGATGTTTTAAATTTTTTTCAACTTTGAGCAAAGATATTTTGATAACCACCTCACCAATTTTGGCAAGAATTTTTTTATTCAAATTCTACAAAACTGAGATTTTGAATAAAAAAAAATTTATCAAAATTGGTTAAGTGATTCCTGAGATATCTTCATTCAAAGTTTTAAAACAATTCAGCATAGCTTTAATTTTGATAAATGTTTTGAATTTTTTCTAACTTTGAGATGTTTCAACAACCATCTAACTAATTTTGATAAGAATTTTTTTATTTGAATTCTACGAAATTGAAGAATTTGAATAAAAAAAATTTATCAAAATTGGTTAGATAGTTGTCAAGATATATTTGCTCAAAGTTGGAGTAAATTTAAAATATCTATCAAAATTAAAGTTGCATTGAATTGTTTTTAAAAATTTGTGTAAAGTTATCTCAGAAATTATCTGATCAATTTTGATAAAAAATTTTTATTTAAAATTTTTTAGATTTGTAGAATTCGAATAAAAAAAAAATTTATCAAAATTGGTTAGATGGTTGTCAAGATATCTTCACTCAAAGTTGAAAAAAATTCAAAATATCTATCAAAATTAAAGCTACGCCAAATTGTTTTTAAAACTTTGAGTAAAAATATCTTGACAACTACCTAACCAATTTTGATATTTTTTTTAATTCAAAATCTACAGTTTTGTAGAATTTGAATAAAAAAATTCTTGTCAAATTGGCTATGTGGTTGTCAAAATATCTTCACTCAAAGTTAGAAAAAATTCAAAATATCTATCAAAATTAAAGCTATACTAAATTGTTTTTAAAATATTGAGTGAAGATATCTTGACAACCACCTAATAATTTTTTTTTTATTTGAATTCTACAGTTTATAAAATTTGAATAAAAAAATTTCTATCAATATTGGTTAGGTGATTATCAAATAACTTCACTCAAAGTTGGGGTAAATTCAAAATATCTATTAAAATTAAAGCTATACTAAATTATTTTTAAATCTTTGAGTGAAGATATCTTAGTAATCACTTGATTAACTTCAATAAATTTTATTTATTTGAATTCTACAGATTAGTAGAATTCAATAAAAAAAAAAAAATCTATTAAATTTGGTCAAGTGCTTGTTGAGATATTTTTGCTCAAAGTTGAAAAAAAATTAAAATGTTTATCAAAATTAAAGCTATGCTGAATTACTTTTAAAACTTTGAGCAATGATATCTCAACAATTAACTGATTAATTTTAATAAATTTTTTTTATTTAAATTCTACAGATTTATAGAATTCAAATAAAAAATTTTTATCAAAATTAGTTGAGTGGTCATCAAGACAAGATATTTTTGCTCAAAGTTAAAAAAGATTTAAAATTAAAGCTATACTGAGTTATTTTTAAAACTTTGAGCAAAGATATTTCAACAATTATCTGATCAATTTTAATAAAAACTTTTTTATTTGAATTTTACAGTTTCATAGAATTCAAATAAAAATCTTTTTATTGAAATTGACCAGGTGGATGTCAAGATATCTTTACTTAAAGTTTGATAAACTTTTAATTTCATATTGAAGTAGATATTTAACAAACTGTTATACTTAGAAAATTATTTAACAATCGTTACTTGGCATAACCAAGCACAGATTCACCTATTGCTGGATATTTTTATACATACTGATAATGTCTGCTTTTTTGAAAAAAAGTTAGTAGAAATTCTGCTAACCTCCACTTTTTTAAAGAGGTTGATAGAATTCTTTTAACTTTATTTTTTTTTGTTTTATAACTTATAATATTGGTTTTAGAAGTATTAGCATTACTTTGGTTTATTTTGAATATATAAATTCAAAATTAGTGTTTAAAACTGCAAAAAATTATGCAGGTGATTAATTACATCGCCTAATTAGGAGTTACACAATTAATAATCATTTAATTGTTTATTAATTATAATAACTATTTTTAATTAATTAATTGCTTAACCGTTTAATTATTTATTTTAATCACTTAATTGTTTAATTGTTTATTTTAATCATTTAACTATTTAATCATTTAGCCATTTAACCATTTATTTTAATTGCTTAACTATTTAATTGTTTAATTGTTTAACTGTTTATTTAATCATTTAATTATTTAATTGTTTAGCCATTTATTTACTTGTTCAATTGTTTAACTACTAATTAATTGTTTAACTGTTTAGCTATTTTATAGCTATATTCAAAATTTGTGGACCACCCTAAGGATTTATCTCAAATTATTGCTGGAATAGCAGGTTTTAGATTGTGTATTGTATTGATATTATCAATATAATATATAATCTAAAATTTGTGATTATCCACTATCTGCTATCCAACAATAGTTCAGAATAAATTCTTAGAGTGGTTCATGAATTTTGAATTTAGAGTAATCATTTATTGATTATTTAACCATTTAGCTACTTAACTATTTATCTGCTATTAATTTAATAATCATATTATCTAACTATATTTATATGATATTAATTATCAAGATCCAGTTTAAAGCTTGTATTATTTATATTATATTAAAGATTTAAAATTAAAATAAAAATTCACATTTTAATTTTTATTTACAGTAAAATTTTATAGCAAAATATATACATAAAAATTCTTTATATTAATAACATATAATTTTTTATATTTATTCTTATTAATCATATTATTATTGCAATAACTAAATATAGGCTGTGATAAATATAACAGATAATTGTATATTCTGGTTATAATATATAATTTAAAATAATACTATTTCTTAAGTTATCATTGCAATTCTTATAAAAATCTTTTCATCTAATTATTCTATCCAATATGATTATATTCATCATTAGTTTCTTTAACCTTTATAATTACAATGAAATATATTTGCTTATAGCAATTTCATAGCATATTCTTCTAATAGATATAAGCATTAGTATACTTTTAATAAAAATAATTCCTGATGTCTTTGTCTTTTTCAGCCTAGATAGATATAGTCTTTTTTTTTTGATTATTATTCAATTAAGCCTATTGCAAATAATACAAAAAAGAATTGCATATAAAAAAGAATTATATGTAAAAAAAATCATATTTGAATTTAAAATTTTATATAAATTTTTAAACCTATTTAGATGTTTAGCATTATGTTTAAAAAAAAGAATTTTTTCAATAATCTTATAACTTAACCATGTACATTGAGAGTAATTAGATTTCCTGAATCTAAAAAAAGTCTCTTACAAGGGACCAATATTGCTGATATATACAAGTATTTACATACTAATAATACCAAAATTAAAAATTTTGTTTTACGCTCATTCTACTATTGCCAAGGATTAGCATTATAATTAATAGAAGAAATTTTTAGATATTCTGTCACTTCATCTAAAGACATATATTCTTGATCTTGTACTCCAAAAATATCTTTAAAAAATAGATTTTGTATTATTTTAGTAAATTATTGGTATTGATGTTTGTTGCTTTGGTTGATTACTGCTAACAATATTAAGGTACTATAAATTCTCATATTCTTTCCTTAATTTTGTTTTAGCTTTTTCTTATTCTCTATTTGTAAATGCAGACATTTTTTTGGTCCAGGGGTCTAAAAGGGTAGCCACCAATTCAACTTCATGGAAATCAAGCCAATATTTATTCAAAGAGTTAGAAATAGCAATTTTAAATTGCTTTTTTATTTGATTAAAATAAGGCAGTAGTGGTAGAGCATGTAAATAAGTATTATTATTATTTTTAGAATCTAATAATTAATTTGAGAAAACTACATTCAACTTCTGCATTTGATTCTGATTAGTAATAAATGCTATATAGTGATTAGTAATCATAATGATTACTAATCATTATTAAGCTTTAAATACTAATTATTATATTAGTGAAATAAAATCAATAAAACTAACAAAACTTATTATCTTCATTATTATTTTCATTATCATTATTCAATTTAAAACTAAAATTTATAAATTTATTTTATAATTCACAAATAATGGAGTATATTAGCAAAAGAGTAGAATACTTGTTTTCTAAAAAGAATTTTGTTGCAAATTCAAATAGTTTTAATACATTAACAACTCTTTCTAACAAATTCTACTTATAATCTTTTAGCAGTAAATGAAATAATTTTTGACTATTTTTTTTATTTTCTTTTCCTTTTCTTAAGAGCAATATGCATACTAATAATGTTATTGTATCTTTTAATTTCAAGAGTCTTGTCTATAAAGAGTAACTAAAGTTCTATCTAGTGCAGATATCAGTAATATTATATAATACTTTTATTGTAGATTCATCAATTTCTCTATAATCATTATTCTTATCTTCTAAATCAATTTCTTTATCCATATTGAGAATTGATAATTGATCAAATTGAACAATCTTGACATTTTTTTCTTGAATATAATTTTGCTATACAAGATCTATTTGTGCTATATCAAGCTGCTTGGATTATTTAACTGATTCTGTAAAAAACTTTACTAATTTTTTGAATCTTTTTATATAAGAATTAACTTTTTTTAAACCTT